AGCTGGCTGAGGCTGTCCCACAGGGGGATCTGCTTTGGAGAGAGTGGGCATGGACTCCCAGGACCGCCTTCTCGCACTCGGACAGGACGCTCCGCAGGCCGGAGAAGGAATACACCTCCATGGTTCTCCACCGCTGGCACTGGCACTTCTTGTCTGTGCAAGGGCACTGCCTGCTGTCGCTGAGCATGGATAAGGACTGGAAATCCGAGGTTTGGCTAGAATGCAAGCTGGTTTCAAAGGAGGAGGGCGGAGCAGGGCAACGCTCTCTCGACTTCTCCGAAGGCTCTTTGGCGGTGAACGCTCCCGGCGGTTCCGTTCCGTCCTCGCCGGCCTCCGGGGGAGGATCCTGCCCGTCCTTCGTACCGTGTTCTGCCGGGACAAAAACGTCTGAGCTGATGGTGCCCTTCGATGTGTCTGCCTGGGATTTGTGTTTCAGCTGGCTGTTGGCTTTCATGCTGCAGTATGTAAACTTGGGAGGGTGCAGGACCGGAGACTTGGAGCGCCGGCGGCGCGGGACTCTGGCTGATCCCCGGGAAGGCTTTCTCACACACCTGCAGGGTTAGAGCAGGGAGGGAGCAAGTAGGTAACTCCAGAATCGACACCTGAGCTCAGCAAGCTCTAAAATGTGGCTAAAAATGCTTCGTAGGATGTTTTTTTATTTCTGCTTAGAAAAACCAGGTGACTGGTCACTTACTATCTCTGATGGGGACAGAGGAGGACTCTGAGGAAGTTTGGGCTCTCCCAAAGGGAAGGCATGTACAAACAGCCCTTAGTTAAGGTACTTCCTCCAAATCTCCTGTGTTAAGATAATGATACTTTGTCATCCCAAGCTGAACTGTAGTGATACAGAACCTGTATCAGTTGGAGCTGCTGGCAGAATCACACTGAATATCCAGGCACTTGGATACAGATATAAAACAACCCAAGAATGAGGTGAGAGGGGCTTGCAAAGGTTTAAGGCTTGAAAAAGAGGACTACTGAGGAAATCAGTGGAAAAGGAAGTTTTAGGAACCCTCTCTAAGAGAACAGGCAATTTGGTTCAAAACAAAGTTTTGAAGCCTTTGATGAAATCCCCTCAAAGACATTGTATCGATTACGGAAAAAAATTGCAATAGAAAGGAGAGAAGAGATATGTTGAAGCAACTAATTGACAACAACTGGCGCTGAAAGCAGACTGCAACTGTTAAATGTCTCATGTTTTACCCATGCCACGCTTCCTTGGAACAGACAGTCTGTTGCTTGGCTCCATCCATGGCTGCTCTCGTCGTTGTTCTGAGGATCGTCCCGTCGCCCACGGCCAGAGCTGCAATACATCTGGGGATGAAGGGAAATGCCACATCACAGAAATGCCTGAGCACACAGCTCCAGAGGTCCAGACTCAGCCCGTTCCCTTTGGATGCTCAGCTAATACGGTCAAATTCCCAGCCTTGACTTCCTCTGTAGTCCGTGGGTGAAAACAAGGCATTACAGAGTTTAATCCCACCCCTCTCTACTACACCGGCCTCAGCTGAGTGGCTAAAGATAGGTGAGATGAAATGAAAGGCAGCCAAAATGCCCAGAGCCTGATGTCATGCCCTGTTTGTAGCAAAATGACACATTAGAGGAATGTAAACTCAGGTTCCAGGCGTTCTGGGCGGACAACAGTCGTTAAAATAACCTCCCACTCGTGCGAAATGCAAAGTCAGGAACCAGGAGCAGCAGAGTGAAGGGGAGTCAGTGGGAAAGGGGATGAGGTACAACAGACAAGGACAGATTACTGGGTCGTTTATCACTGAATTTCCCAGACAAACATGGACTGACCCTGGAGGTCCAGATGACAAACATAAACACCTCAGCACATTTATTTATCTGTACTTATGATGGCTGTAGGTATGATTTGGAACACAAGATAGGAAATCGTAGGAAACTAGGCTGAAATTCTTAGCAAAGAGCCCCAGCACTCTGCCCAAAGTTGATCTTAAGGGATGATTCACAAGACTTGAGCAGTTCAACACACATGCCTGCAAAACAAGACCTTTTTATGCCTAAGAAGGCATCATCAGTAATCACCCAGAATCCCACACAGTCTGCCACTGGTGCTGCATCAGAAGTGGGATGTTTAACAAGCACAGCTCCTTGTTAGAGAACAGCCATTTTTTTCCCACACTTCTCAGAAGACCTCCTGAAGCAGAGGAAACGAGTAGCAAAGCAAAGTGTATTGCAGAGCAAGTCCTGAGTTTGCAGTACTGATGGCTGTGGAGAGGAATTCACAGGGTAACAATGTCAACACAAAGCTTTCTCTTGTGTCTGTGAATTCCTAAAAGACCTCCAAGTGAACTGCCTCGCAGAGTGTTAGACTGCATTTATTAGCTCCTACTTTGAGGGAAAATCTTATCCTGCATATGATCAGCACACCCAGTGTGTTATGGAGCAAGTTTTTAATACAAGAATGGCTGCA